TGATTCTGAGCCCAGGTTCCTGGTGTTTGCAGTATCCTGCAGCAGAGCTCCACAGGTACCACTGTCCATGGAGAGAGGCTCCACACCTCCCCCTGGAATGTGCCAGGTTGTTGTGTGTCCATCTGCAGAGGGAAGGGAAGGCRTGGGGGGGTTGGTGTTTGCAAAGAGACCGGGTTTGTGTTAAATGTGGGGYTTGAAATCGCAGACAGACTGGAACTGCTGTTGGGATCCTGCTGCCTCTGTTGCTGGAGATGCAGGGTCTCTGCTCACAGCACAGCACCAGGAGCACTCAGCATCCTGCAGGACTGGCATTGCCAGCATGTGTCCCAGCAACCTCACAGAACTCCCAGCTTTGACTGGGGTGGGGATGTCCAGGGGATACTGTGGCTTCATGTCCAGCAGCACCTTTCTAAGGATGGTTGAACAGTTGGACTGCAAGAGAAGCCTTGGTATGTAGGGAGATGTGGGATTCCATCTCCTCCAAGTACTTTTGTTTCCTTTGTTACCCTGGAAGGGCTGAGGATGATGCCAAYGCTCTGCAGGGATGATGCTCCTGCAGACATGATCCTCCAGCAGACTGTTTCAGCTCCTGGGCTCTCAGAGCACAGTGAAGCCTCCAAGGGGCATTTTTGATACTCCAGGTAAGAGCAGGTGGCTTTCTGTGCTGCCCTGCTCCCTTTGTGCTCCCCTCTGGCTGTCCTCTGCCCTCTGCACTCTGAGGGTGCTCTGTGGGCACAGCTGAAATCCAGAGGTTTTGGGAGCCACAGAGGTGGGGGAGGATGGCTGGGTTTGCCTCTCATGCAGCCTGGGAAGGGAAGCATCCTGCTTTCCTAAGGGATATTTAAAGGGGAGAAGGAGGAGATGAGGATTTAAAGCCATGGAGCTGCAGCCCTCTGAGGTCATGAAATCAGGCATGTCCTGAATTCATTATTGCCCAGACATGCTAAATCTGCTCCCAACAGCTGAGTTTGCTCCTATGGAAATGGCCYCTCTGGTCACACCAAAGGTCTCCCTGACTCAAACTCCACTTTCTGAGCCTGCTTTATGCTGCTGTGGCTGAGGAAATGGTGCTGCAAAAGAATGGTGCCCCTCTGGGCACCTGCCCCTTCAAAGAGCCTGGCAGCAGAAGCCAAAGGCTGGGTCTGCATGCCTGAAGCTGGCTCAGGAATGGCTCAYGGAAACCCTCCCATGGCCATGAATTCCATATGGAAACCGTGTGTTCCTGGGGAACCCCTTGGTGACTAGCCCTGGGGACAAAACCTCACATGCTTTTGGTTTTTTATTTTATTCCCATCCTCTGTTATGGATTCTACCCSCCCCCCCCCCCTCCCCCAATTAATTGATTTGTAAATTATCCAATTACTG